CGCTGAAAATTTCGGGGAGTTAAAGGGAATTTATACCAGGAAGAGAAGCCTGGCTGATCTCCTATGACAAGAATGAGAGACTGCGCCCGTGGCTGGTCCACCATCAACGACGACCCAGCAGATCCAAATTGCCTTGCACCGCTAAACATGTTATTACATCATTATTTCAGGTAAATTTTACCTGTGATGTTTCGAAAAGTGCGAAGCCGTACAAATTTACGCCAGCGTGTTGTTTCGGACGACGAAAACGATGATGACGGCGAATTGGGCAACAGCAGCAGCAGTGGTGCTCCGGTGAAGACAGCAACAACAGCAACAACCACAGGAACCCCCAAAAAACCGACAACAACGGAAAAGGGGAATAAAGCTTCGGTGAGCGGACAACCTGCTGCTGCTACGGAGATGCCGGCTACTGTGGTTGGAGCAAAGGAGCACAAATTGCTGAGTTTTGACGATCTAGAAGGTAAGTGGCCCCGCTCTGATGATGTTTTTGGATCGCCATGAAATTTGCGTCCCCCCTTTCTTTCTGTTACGAAAAAATCGCTCATTGAATATCAGGGCAAATAAGCAGATAAGAAAATAAATTAGATGAGAAATCGAACGGATTTACACCAGGCATGGGCAGTCTTTGACAGCACGCGAACCTGATTTACATACTTACTGGAGCTCGCGGGCCACTTTTTAATAAAACCCAGTTAGCAACGCACCAGGCTGCTTACCTGTGTGATCATGCATTTTTGCACTGAACTTGACGCAATCAGATCGTTAACAGTATGAACGGTTGTTGTTGCTCTACAGTTTAATACGTACAACTCATGTGTCTGTGTTTTGGCCTTTTTTTGCATGCGAGGGAAAAGAGCATCGGCTGGGACGATAGTGTTGCATCATGGGTCCCCCCGTGACTAAGTTGAAAATGAGTGTGACAAAATTCACTCGCTTCTGAACACACACAAAAACACAGGCATTCTCTCGAAATTATGCATTTTGCGTTTGCATAAGATGCAAAAATGCTAAAAAATGATTACTTTTTTATCAGGTTGTTCATTCAAATAAAGCAGGTTAATATGAGCTATGGGCTTGATCTTTTGACACAAGATTGTTGAAATCTGGATTTGTATCACTAACACAGAGTCTCAAAGTATTTTCCAGATTGTCGTCTGTTAGCCTCGTGCGTATTGTAGTTTTATTTATTTTTATGAGAATGCAGAGGCGATACAAACCCCCGTTCGTCTAGTTAGGCACCACATCCCAATCCCCTGCACTGGCCGCCGGTTACACACCCATGATTTAGACAGTAGAATATTTGGTTCGACTGTATTTCATGGTCCGTTGTCCATTTCTCTAGCTGACAACTTTTACAGTTTTTTTGGCCAGTGCTGCATCATTTGGCAGTTAGCCAGCTGGCGATCCTGATATTTTTTTTTAGCTTTTCTTACGTTATCTGGCATTTCTCGCGTTTGTTTGTCACCTTTGATGTCATTTTCTGCATTCATTAGTGTCCCTATTTTAAATTTAGATATTTTATGATTATGAAAAATCTAAAAAGATGAAAATGAGGAACAAAAAATTAAAAATTTTTATAAAAATAAAATCTGGACTGGAATGTTTCGGTCCATCAAGTCTCATATTGGCTCCACTATTACTTGTGCTAGGATGATATGCATATGGCACCTTACATAAGGAATTGTTCGTATTAATTTTAAGTTGCCCTATGTTATTTTTAGGTGATGATATCACAGATTTCAAAATTAAACGTAAAGACTGGCATAAACGTGCCGAGAAATTGGCCCGGAAATCCAGGCAACGACACAGGGACGAAGAGGCAACCAGCGAGGAAACCAAACCCGGTGCTGCTCCCGGCGCAGTGGAAGTGAAGCAGGAAATCACAGTCAGCGAAACGGTATCATCCACGAAATCGGTGGTAAACTTTTAGAGTTTCATTTCCAGGAAAAATAAAAAAAAAAGTAAACGTGAAATTATGTTTTACCTTGATTTTACCTTAATTTGAACTCGATTTTAATTATGCAGTGGTTGTGGTACTTTTAATTGTACTTGAAATACGTGTATAATAGCCTCTCGTCTTTTTCTGGTACTCAAAATCTCATTTAAAT